TACCTGTAACAGACAGTATAGAACTACCTGTAACAGACAGTATAGAACTACCTGTAACTGTATAGAACTACCTGTAACAGACAGTATAGAACTTCCTGTAATAGACAGTATAGAACTTCCTGTAATAGACAGTATAGAACTACCTGTAACAGTATAGAACTACCTGTAACAGACAGTATAGAACTTCCTGTAAAAGACAGTATAACACGGATAGCTCGAATTCGTCGTCGGGACCGGCCTCGGCAGTTCGAGTGATCCGTGAAGTATTATATGGCATGGGCTGTGGCAGAGAATCAAGGGAAGCAACAAACATTGAGCGGCTACTGTAGGGGAAAAACAAAACATGCAGCTGGTGTGAAGCACAACCCTTCCTCTCGCCCGCTAGATAGTCACTGGGCATGCATGTTGAGCAGCGCGCTAAAAATAGCACAACTAGCTGCTTCTCTGGATTGGGGAAGGTGTTATTTTACCTACCCTGCCTTTGCAAGTTTTATTATTATTACTATAATTATGACTTTATGATCATTATTATGATTATCATTGGTATTATTATTTTGTCTCAAGTGCACCTCAAAGGACATTGACTTTGGACCTCTAAGGCGGCGTAATTAGTTCGACTATTCCGTGTTTGTTTTCGAGCTTCAAGTAATTCTCTTACAAAGATAGATAGGCCATAAAGACCCCCCCCCCCCCCCAAGAAAAAAAGGGGGCCGCAGGCCCAGTCCGACAGATGTGTACTTTCAAGTCTTATGTGTTCGACCTATCCGTGTTCTACTGTAAATGTAGAACTAATTTCATTTGTGGCTTAAATCTCCCTGAGTTTCGCCCGACTGAACAAGACAGAAGGACAAGACTGAAGGACAAGACTGAAGGACAAGACAGAAGGACAAGACAGAAGGACAAGACTGAAGGACAAGACAGAAGGACAAGACAGAAGGACAAGACTGAAGGACAAGAACATATCACTCATTAACACAACATCATAGACAAAAAGATGAGCTAAAAATAGCAACAAATGAAAATACCAACATGTGTAAGTATGGCTTGCCAGGTTTCCTACAAGGTTTTATGACAGCTTTGGCCTACAATATTGCCAAATGACAAGCAAAAGTCTTGGCAGAAAGGCCACCCAAACATGACAGTGTGCACGCCCAATCTTTATAT